TATCTATCTATCTATCTATCTATCTATCTATCTATCTATCTATCTATGTATCTCTCTATATGTTAAGGCTGAAAATCCATTCTAAAATACAGGCATCACTTCAATATTATACTTAGAAAAATGATACCCAGAGCTGTATGGAACATGATGACCATTGCATGAACAGATGTCCACTAAAGGACAATGGAATGTGTCAAAAAGAAAATGAAACTTAATTGGCTCCCTTAGCGCATAATTAAGATAGCTAATCAAAACACTGCAAATTGAACAGAAGACAGAGGCTCACACTAAAGAAAGAGTCATGATTTATAACCTCCCAAATAAAAGCAACTCCAAATAAAGGTACTTAAACAACTTTGAAAAATAATTAACCAGAGGAACCACAGTAGAGAAATTAGAAATTTGATACCACCTCCCCCATATGAATATTTGTAAATATCTCAGACAGATGGCAGGCATGCAGTATTAAAAAAACAACCCCAAACCTCTCTCATCAGGAAAGAACTAAATTTCCAGCCTGCTGAAGGCAATTTGTCAGAACAGACTGTAATATCAACACAGATAAATAAACCTTCAGCAAAGCATGAAACACACTATCTCAAGGGTCATCCAGATAGAAAAAAATCTAAATCATGATAAGCTGGCCTGAAAAAACTGATTTTATTTCAAGGGTCATGCAGTTAGAAAAAAAATCTAAATAATAGATTATATTATACATAATACATATACATATATAACATATATGCTGGCCTTTAAAATTTTATTACACATTAACATTGGATAAAGAATCATTTTAATGACTCATAATTTTTCTAACCAAGAAATATAGATATTTGCATGTCTATAAAATGACACTTACAGGCACCTGAATTGGTCATATGGTCCTACTAGAAGTAACAATAATATCTTAGATTAAAATTAGTGATTTAAATTTAAATAGTGGCTTTCTCTCAAATGTCGTATAAGGTAGGTGGTTAAACTATCATTAGCCCTATTTATAGATGAAGAAACTGGGGCTCAGCGAGGTCAATGAATTTGCTCAGTGTCAAAGAGTTATTAAGCTTTAGATCTAGGATTCAAATCCAGATTTCCTGACTCCAAGTCTAGTGTTCTTTTCCTTATAAAATATTACCTCTCTCAGTGTATTGTGGTTCAGTCATATCTGACTCTTCGTGACCCTGTTTGGGGTTTTCTTGGCAAAGATACTGAAACGGTTCACCATTTCCTTCTCCAGTTAATTTTATAGATGAAGAAACTGAGGCAAACAGGGTGAAGTGACTTGCCCAGGGTCACACAGCTAGTAAGTATCTGAGGCCAGACCTGAATTCAGGAAGATGAATCTTTATCCACATTAGGCTTTATCCACTGAGCCACATAGCTGATCATAGCTTATAAAAATACCATGCAAATACTAGATGCAGCTGGTGTTATAGTGGATAGAGTGCCTTGCCTGGAGTCAAGAAGACTTGAGTTTAAATCTAACCTCAAACA